GACACGACCGATGCTAAAACCACTTGCAAACGCCACGGGGGGTGCCCCGGCTTTGGGCAGAGGAGCGAGATGAGCTGTTCCAGCCCCCGCCGGCAGCCTGGCGCCAGCCGCGAGGGAGATTTTTGTACCGAAAAGCCTGAGTGTTAATCTCCTAAGTGAGCGCCTTTCACAGCCTTTGTCTGGGTTTGGTGACTCCAGCAGGTCCCCTGGCAAAAGCTGGCCATACCCTCAGCTTACACCTCGACCCACAGATGTTCCTCGATCTAGTTAAGCCACCCGAGGACCTTCCTACCCAAGAACCAGGAATGCTATCAACGGGTGCTGACAAACACTTCCAAAACCCCCTCCGCAGCTCAAACCGTGACTGCATGCTGGACCCCTCCTCGTCCAAAGCCGCACACGGAGCAGGGAAGGTGGGGATGGAGCCTCTGAGGGCAGGGAGGGGTTGAACAGAGCGAAGGCAGAGCGCTCGGCTAGGACACGGTAACAGCAAGGACAGTCCGAGATACTCCCCAGCAGAGCTGCACAAAACCAGACTGGGAGTTTCGTGCGGCATGGGAGGAAGCTGGGCTGACAGAGAGAGCACGTGGGACCTTCCACTCGCGCCTCGCTCGGTCACAAACCCCCGAGCAGGTCCTGTCACCCACCCGCTGCCACCGCCTGCCAACAAGGCACTTCAGGGAAGGCTCCAGCAGCACCTCGAGGAGCGAGAGGACAACGGGCTCTGGGAGACTCCTTCAAACACCCGCCTTGTCTTCCATCCAAGGGAAGGGGGCTTCTCCTGCCTCCTTTCTCACCACCTATGGAATTATTCGTGGAAGTTGCCATTTCCAGTTTGGAGCAGCCAGCACCACCCCCGCCCGACACGGCAAAACGCCGGCCTGGATTCTGCCGGCGCAGCAGCCCAGAACCTCCAGCTGGTCTGAAGGGCACCCGGGAAGATGGAGACGCCTTAAGGTTTCAAGCTGCTCAGGGCAGCTGCTGGCAGGGAGCAAAAACCAGGGTCACTAAACCCACTCAGGTTTTAGGTTTGTCAGAGCAGGGCCACGCGTGGCTGAAAGCAGAGGGAAGGCTTCACTGCCCTCAGGCAAGCCACGTGCCAGTCAAGCCCAGCTGCCTCCAGCACACCAGCCCTCACCTCAACTCGCCGTGTGAGAGCCCAGCA